CCTGATCTCGTCCTTGATGCCTCGTTTAGCGAGGAAAGTCTTCATGCTATTCCAGGACGTGTCTTTTATGCCCATCAGCCGAAGGACACCCTCGAGCACATCTCTCACTGGAGCCGGTGGTGCTCTCAATGAACGAACTTCAGCCAACGCGTCGGCGCTTATACCAGCCACCGCCTGGGCAGCCTGTGCCACCATAGGCTCGACTTTTCCTAATTCATTTTCAATATCTGCCTACGTAATATTAATTTTATTAAATTTATGTTATAATATATAAATATATGTAATAATACCATCGTATTGATAGAGACCATCGTATTGATATCGCGTCATGCGATCTCTATAAATTTCAATTTTTTTGCATTGATAATAATAAATGTAATAACAGAGGAAAATCATATTACCTTACGCCGTGCAAGTTCAGCACTCTCGCGTTCCGTACTGGCTTTCAAGGTCGTCATCTCTCCCCTTTGATTAGTCGCGCCTCTCATCGTAGCGGTGATTTGTTCAAGAGCGGCGTTGGCTCTTCCTTTCTCCACCTGTAAGCAGGATTTTACATGATCACAGTGTTATAAAACACAAAAGTTTACAATTATATAGTAACATTGTTGCATACGGACCTCCAGTTCCTGGCGTTGTTTGGAGACCTCGTCCTCCAACTTGGCCACCTGTTCACCGGCTTCTCTTAGCTTTCCGATACCGGCTTCGAGAGATCGCAGCTTTTCTTCTACCTCCTTGCCCCACGTATCATGAAGGTATTTCCAGGTGTGAATCAGAGCCAGGAATCGTGCCGGTGCTCTTTGAGGACGAGGCGCTTGAAGATGAGCTCCGATTATCACTTTTGCACCTTGTGGCAGTTCCTCGACTTCATCCAGTTGCAAAGTACCTTCCTGAATCGCCAGTTTAATCAAAGAACTTTCCCGGGACCACCATTCGCTGGGACTACCGGGTCCAGATCCAAGCAGCGCGCAATGTCGAAGAAAGCCGAGGCGTATCAGCGACGACGATTCGATTTCCTCCGAATCTAAGATCACCACTATTCGAAGATATTTACGCAAGCCTGCAAGATTAATCAAATATACATTCAATGGAAAAAAATCAGAAATACATTCAATGTAAAAATCAGAAAAATCGGTCACTAACATATCAACACAACGTTTTTCAAAATTCTTTTAAAGGAGAAATAGTTTGCAACAGCTTGATCAGCATTAAATAAGATTTTCAATATATACGTACGATGATACAAGTAGTACTCCAACGTCCCTTGAAAATCTTCCCTTCGAGCTAGATCGGCAAGCGGTGCGACCAACGCATCAAGTTCGTCCGCCGTGAAGAGTCCAGGAATTTCTCCTTTAGACACTATGGCACTCATCATCACAGCTAAGCTCTCCTCTCTGGCATGATGTTCCTCCAACAGGAGCAAGGTCGGTTGATTTTCAATGCCGGCTGCTTGCACCGCGCTCTTTATCGTCGCTTTACCGCGTTCTACAGAAACAATCGATGATTATGACGGAATTGAAAAGAACGCGATTAATAAATAGATCGCCTTTATAAATCGTAGTTCTTACAGTACCAGGTCCTGAGTCGATCAATCGTAGGGAAGAGAAGGTTGTAACTAGTTTAACTGCCGACCTTCTACCTGCCCCTGGTCGTCCAACGAGAATTATACCACGAAAATCGCATCCGATAGCCCAATTTAATTCTATCGAAATATTTGACATCGTTGATAAATGCGAGTTACTTCTGTAACTATCAATTACAATCGGATTATGTACACACCAGCTACGATTTCCAAAAGATAAGATGACATCGGTGCCTGCACTGGTTGGCCCTCTCTTGCGCATCTGGCCGCTGTATTGTTTATTTCTTCTCGCCATTGCTCCTCACTCAAAGGATGCAGCCCAATATTTGCGTTCTTCCATACGTATACATCATTGTTGAAGTCTGTTATCTCCGAATTCTTCGAAATTATCAAAGATTCCCATCGTGACAATGCCTTAGACGTTAATCTAAATTGAAAAATATGATGAAGTATGGTCACTTGCCAAGAGAGGAATATTTAAACAAGATTTTAATTTTTTCGAATCTTTCCCTAAAATTTAAATTAGCTTCCTTATTTAACTAAAAATGTATTTAAAATATAATATTTTAGATAATGTACCTTAGCAAAATATTTTTTAGAGTATTACAGTTAAAATAATTTATAAAGCTAATTTACACTTTAAAGTAATACCTTGCTCGAAATAGTCGTTGTCCGATGTCTAACAAATAACGAGTGATATACGCTTCATTTTCGGGTGTGGGATAATATTTCAAGAGTTTTGCCCATGAGACAATATTTTCAAAGTCCAAGTGAGAGAAG